TACATCAGTTAAAGAAGTGCTCCTTATGCACGGCAGCCCCTCAGCAATTGGTGGGGAGAGATCCACATCCCCAGGAATGAGACCTTATTGGATTTACCCAATTGGCCTAACTCATTCCTCTACTGATGGGCTCAGAGATGGTCGTGTGACCCATGATTGGTTCAGAGATGGGCATGTGACCCAGTTTGAGCCAATGAGACAAGAGATGATGTTGGCTGGAGTTTCTGGGAGGAGCTATTTCCAGACTCCACCTCTTATCTGAGGACATCCCTAGAAGCCTCCGGCAGCCATCTTGTCTCCATAAGGGGATCCAGGCTTGGTTTGGAGCAGCCTCAATTGAAAGCTGGGAGGACACTGACTGACATCGTTGAGCTCCTGGATCAACACCTCTAAAGCTGCTCTCCCATGGCCCTGTCAGTCATGGGAATCAATGAATTCCTTTTATTATCTTAGCTACAGTTGTTTTCTCTTCCCTGCGAGAGGATGGTTTCTAGCTGAGGCATCAAGATCTTCATCTACTCTTTTTTCAATCTATTCCTTATGCTATAAACATTGCACATGGAGTTCATCTGGGCTCTGTGTTTTGAGGCTTTAAAGCCTTGTTTCCCTTCCCTCCCTTCCTTCTTCCCTCCCTTCCTTGTCTTTCTTTCTTGAGATGGAGTCTCACGCTGGAGTGCAATGGCAAGATCTCAGCTCACTGCAGCCCTTCCCTCCTGGGTTCAGGCAATTCTCTTGTCTCAGCCTCCCAAGTAGTTGGGATGACAAGCACCCACCACATGCCTGGCTAATTTTTGTATTTCTAGTAGAGATGGGATTCTGGCCATGTTGGCCAGGTTGGTCTTGAACTCCCGACCTCAGGTGATTCGCCCACCTTGTCCTCCCAAATTTCTGGGATCACAGGTGTAACCCACCATGACCAGCCAAAAGTCTTGTTTCTTGAATGACATTTCTTCTTCTCAATCACCTGTCCTGAATCCACAGGTGCATGACTGCATGGCAAGGCTGGAAGGCTAGTGGGGAGACTGTGTTCCAGAAAATGGAGGGGGAATAACATGGGTTAAGATCTCAAAAATTAGCTACTACACTCTGTGTGTGTGTGTGTGTGTGTGTGTGTGTGTGTGTGTGTGTGTGTATGTGTATGAAGCACAGCACTAAGCACCTTATCTGTATTATTTCATTGAATTTTCCCAATCTCCTGACAAGTTACTATGATTATATCCCTTAACAGATGAGGAAACTGAGGCCTAGGATGATTTGTCCTCTCTCAAAGCACACACCTAGCAGGTAGCCCAGCTTTGTATTGAACCCAGTGGGCTCCAGAGTGCATGACACCCATTCAGAGCTGTGTCACAGCCTGGTAGTGAGAACCAGTTAAGAAGCGTGCAGGGTGCAAAGTTCTGAAGATTCATATGGAAATTGCATACAGAGTAATTTTATAGACAATTAAATCTGTAAAGATTGGCCAATATATGCACTTAAAGCTGTGTGCAGAGGTAGCTGCCAAGTTTCCTTTCATCTACTGAAGCATTTTTAAACAAAGACGTATGGTCTAACTGGCTGAAGGCTCAGGAGGCTAATTAGAGCATGGAAGGATAGAGCTGAGTCCCAGGAGGTGGCATGGTGAGGGGGACAGGGCTTGGGTTCACCTGCCCCATGGACGCCCTCTCTCAGGAGGCTGTGTGCTATGGTGGAAGCGGCATGGGTTTTGCAGTCAGATTGACCTAGACTGACCAATCCCTGCCCTTCCCCTCACCAACTGTTTGACTCCAGCAAGTACTGCTCCCTCTTAAGCCTCACTTTTCCCACCTGTAAAATGGGACATCTACTCTCTGGGGCTGCTGCCAGGATTAGGCAGTATATTAGTCAGGGTTCTCTAGAGAGGCAGAGACAATAGGGGAGATATATATATATATATATATATATATATATATATATATATATATGTGTACACATAAAGAGGAGGCTGAGGTGGGCAGATCACCTGAGGTCAGGAGATCAGAAGTTCAAGACCAGCCTGGCCAACGTGGCAGAACCATGTTTCTACTGAAAATACAAACATTAGCCAGGTGTGGTGGCAGATGCCTGTAATCCCAGCTATCTGGGAGGCTGAGACCGGAGAATCACATGAGCCATCACACCTGGCCCCGCTGATCTCTTCTTGGGTATGTTTTGTCTCCCCCTACTCCCACCCCATTGCTTCCTTCTCATTCGGTATTAATGTGAGCATGTCTATGTATTCTCCTTTTACATTTGAATAATATCTGTCTCCAGACAGATAATATATGTATCGAGTCCCTTTGTTGTATTTAATTAATGGCCCCAATTCTTCTTCCCTTCTTATATCCATGCCCTTTACCATGCACCTCTTAAGTTCCTCCCACTAGGGATAAAACAGTGCTTCTCAGTCCAAACTTTGGAACCTGTTTCGGCCATTGGTGGAAGTGACGGCATGCCAGATCTGAGTGTCAGTCTCAAGAGAAATTGCTTGTTCTGTATCTGCCTTCTGCTCTTAGGCCCTCGCCTTGCCCCAGGGAGCAAGGAGGCAGAGACACATGAGCCTAACCAGCAGACCAGCCAGCTCTGACAGTGGCTTGCAGTCAAGTCCCACTGAGCCCAGCCTGAGGTGCTATGGTCCTTGGTTGATTGATACAGTGATACAATCAAATGGTTGAAAGTGTGAGTCTCTCTCTTATCCCTGTCCTTACAATCCAGCTCCTTTCTCCAGAGGCTGCCGGAATGGCCAGTTCCCTTGTATCATTCCAGAGATATTGAGGCACACCAGCAATCCCACGGGTATCTGGACACATTACTCACTGCTCAGGACCCTGTTTTTATCAACCTTATATATATCTCAGAGATCATTTTATATCAATACATAAAGATCTCCCTCGGCTCTTTTATGGCTCTGTCGTACCCTGTTGGGTGGATTTACTACAGTTTATTTAACCAGGCCCCTACTGACGGACACTTAGATTGTCCAGTTGTAATTGCCCGATGGGTTCATCTCAGCTGCTGCCCATAAATGACAATGCACTGAACACAGCAGGTTTTTGCAATAGAAAAAGAGTTTAATAAACACAGAGCTGATTAAGCAGAAAGACAGGAGTTTATTATTACTCAAACCAGCCTCCCCCAAAATTTAGAGGCTAGGATTTTAAATTTTTTTTCTTTATTTAACTTTAGGTGCATACTACATCTGGCATTTCTCCTCATGTTATTCCTCCCCCCCGGCTCACTGTCCCTCCTCTACCCCTGCAACTGCCCCCAGTGTGTGATGCTCCTCTCCCTGAGTTCACGTGTTCTCATTGTTCAACACCTTCCTATGAGTGAGAACAGGCGGCGTTTGGCTTTCTGTTCCTGTGTCAGTTTGCTGAGAATGATGGTTTCCAGATTCCCTCCCTCCCTCCCTCCCTCCCTCCCTCCCTCCCTCCCTCCCTCCTTCCCTCCCTTCCTTCCTTCTTTCCTTCTTTCTTTTTGTTTGTTTGTTTTGCTCTGTTGCCCAGGCTGGAGTGCAGTGGTGCAATCTCAGTTCACTGCAACCTCTGTCTCCTGGGTTCAAGGGACTCTCCTGGCTCAGCCTCCTGAGTAGCTAGGACTCCAGGCACATGCCACCATGCCTGGCTAGTTTTTGTATTTTTAGTAGAGATGAAGTTTCACTCTGTTGGCCAGGCTGGTCTCAAACTCTAGACCTCAAGTGATCCGCCCGCCTCAGCCTCCTAAAGTGCTGGGATTACAGGTGTGAGCCACCATGCCGGCCTGTTCTCCCTCCCTCCTTTCTTTCACTGTGCTCTGAGGACATGGCACTGAACTCAACAGATGCCTCCTGCTCTCATGGAGATTATATTCTTCTGGGGGAGTGGGGGGATATTAATAATCCACAAGTGAAATTTAAGGTAATTTCAGACTGTTATGTGCTATGAAGAAAATAAGACCCCAGCAATTTGGGAGGCCAAAGCAAGAGGATCCATTGAGCCCAGGAGTTAGACATGAGCCTGGGCAACATAGCAAGACCTTGTCTCTACAAAAACATTTTTAAAAAAAATTAGCTGGGCTTGCACCTGTGGTCCCAGTTACTTGGGAAACTGAGGCTGGAGGATCCACTTGAGCCTGCGGGGAGGAGGAGGTTGCAGTGAGCCATGATGGTACAACTGCACTCCAGCCTGGGCAACAGAGCAAGATCTTGTCTCAAAAATAAATAAATAAATAAATAAATAAGTAAAAGTAAAGAAGACATGATAATGGAGAGTGTCTGGCATGAGAGTATCCAGGTGGGCAATTCAGATTTTGCAATCAGGGACAGCGTCTCTGAGGAGGCGAACTTCAGGCTAAGGTGAGAGGAAACCAGCCATGGGGAGGTCTCTGGAAAAAGCATTTCAAGCAGAGGGGATGGTCACTGCAAAGGCCCTGAGGTGGGAACACGCTTGTTCTATTCGAGGAATAGCAGAAGAAAGATGACTGTGGGAACAGGGGGAGGAGGCGAGGTCAGGAAGGTGAGCAGTGTCTGGGGCATGCAGGATGCCACAGTCCATGGTCAGCGGTCAGTCAGGACCTTACTTGCCCAGGAAAAGCAAATGCTCCTAGGGGTGATTTATCCTTCGGGGAGATGGAGGCACTCTCATTAACTATGTAATAAATAGTCCTAAAATCACACCAAGAAGGCCAGCCTTCACCTCGTCCAAAGCTCAGTCAGTCAGTAAGGCATTAAACATTCAATGGAAACTCCATTGTGCCTATCGACCTCAGAGCTCTGGACAGGCAGAACGCATGAATCGAACCTTGAAAAGTACTCCTACAAAATCAATCTTGGAAACCGGTGAAGGTTGGGCAAACCTCCTTCCTTTAGCTCTTCTTAGAGTTAGATGCACCCCTTACAAAGCAGCGTTCTTTTTTTTGAAATCATGTATGGACGGGCTCCGCCCATACTGCCTAGATTAAAAGATACTCATCTAGCAGAAATATCCCAAGCTAACTTGTCACAGTACCTATGGTCTCTCCAACAGGTTCAAGACGTCATCCAGCCGCTCGTCCGGGGAGCACACCCTAATCCAATTCCTGACCAAACCGGGCCCAGCCACACTTTCTGTCCTGGTGACCTGGTGTGTGTCAAAAAGTTCCAAAAACAAGGACTCACTCCTGCTTGGAAAGGACACTCCCCCGTTCCCTTACACCAGGGGATGTTGCAGGAAACGCCGCCTGCCTAATTAGCAGTGGCCATAATCTATCTGCTTCTCCTTTTAACCAGTCTCTGCTCTCTACCCTAAACCGTCAGTCTCCTACCAGGCACCCAACAATACTTGGCTGGCCTGCACCTTGTGCCTCACCCGCTGCGTCAATGGGACTGACTTGGACCTGTCCCGTGTGTGTTGCTTCGTGTTCTTCCCCAGGTCAGTGTGTACAGCGGACCAGAAGGACGACATCTCATCGCTTCCCCCGAGCTACACCCCAGGTCCCGTGGAGCTGTGCCCCTCCGTGTACCCCTCCTGGCCAGCATTAGCGCAGCTGGGTCAGCAGCTCTCAGCACTGCAGCCGTGGTCAGGGGCGAAACTGGACTAACATCCCTGTCTCAAGTAGATGCCAATTTGGGAAATCTCCAGTCTGCCATAAATATGTTACATACTCAGGTAGAATCCTCAGCTGAAGTTCTTCTCCAGAACCGCTGAGGCTTAGATCTAGTGTTCCTTTCCCAGGGAGGCTTGTGTGCAGCGTTGGGGGAAAGCTGTTGTTTTTATGCTAACCAATTTGTCATTAAAGACACTCTTCAAAGGGTTTGAAAAAAATTAGATAAACGGCAACAGGAGCAGGAGAAGAGTACCCCATGGTACCAAAGCATGTTTTTTTTTTTTTTTTTTTTTTTTAAATTTTTTTTAAAAGATGGGGTTTCACTATGATGGCCAGGCTGGTCTTGAACTCCTGACCTCAGGTGATCCACCCACCTCAGCCTCCCAAAGTGCTAGGATTACAGGTGTGAGCCACCACGCCCGGCTCAAAGCATGTTTAACTGCAGCCCATGGCTAACTACGTTAATAACTGGGCTGGCAGGACCCCTTCTTCTCCTCCTGGTAGGTTTAATCTTTGGGCCCTGTATACTAAACTGGCTCCTTGCTTTCATAAGGCAGCATATAAATTCTGCCAAACTTACGTATCTCAGAAGCCACTACAACTCCCTTGTTGTAACTGAAGAGTCAATGCTTCAACTCCCCCAACACACAAGTGGGGACTGTGATAACCTAACTGACTCTATCTTGGCTGCAAACCTAACAAGCTCTCTCTAGCCTCCCCCTCCCTGCCTCAGCCCCTCAGGTGCGTTGAACGGCTGAGAGAGTTCACACTGTTCACAGCACCTGTAATCATTGTAACCGCATCCTGCCTGTCAAGTCTACCTGCTATTGTGAATATCCTCCTTGGTGATTGATTGTATGGGAAGTTCCCCCTGCCACCCACCTTGATGATTGTATGGAAATATCCTTAGCAACCAACAGTCCTGGGAACCCCCTGCCCCCTGGTCACCAGCTTCTTTATCTAACTTGCTTGTTCTGCTTCTGTAAAATTCCGCTTCAGCTAGGCTCCCCCTCCCCTACCTAAATCAGGGCATAAAGGGGGATCAAGCCCCTTCCTTGGGGCCAAGAGAATTTTGAGCGTTAGCTGACTCTCCATCACTGGCAAATAAAGGACTCTTCATTAGGAACTCAGAGTGTGGCTCTTTCCTTCTAACTCGCTAGGATATAACACAGTTCCCAGGTGGATGCAGTTTGCATTTGTTATTGCTATTTTGACTAAGAAGCATGTGATTGACTTATAGAAATAAAATTTTAGAGAGTCCTTAGGTTACTGAGGCTAGAGTTTCACCTTAGGTGTTTTGTTTTTTTTTTTTTAAATTTTAATTTAAACTTCAATTTTTTTTTTTTTTTTTTTGAGAGTTTCACTCTTCTCGTCCAGGCTGAAGTGCAGTGGTGTGATCTCGGCTCACTGCAACCTCCACCTCCTAGGTTCAAGAGATTCTCCTGCCTCAGCCTCCCAAGTAGCTGGGACTGCAGGCTCTCCTGCCACATCTGGATAATTTTGTATTTTTAGTAGAGAGGGAGTTTCACCATGTTGCCCAGGCTGATCTTGAGCTCCTGACCTCGGGTGACCCACCTGCCTGGGCCTCCCAAAGTGCTGGGATTACAGGTGTGAGCCACTTTGCCTGGCCAGTTTAGGTGTTTTGATAAGAGCCAGAGCTACAAGTGTGTGGGCCAATGTTGTTTATCTCTGGGGGGATGTCTAAGACCTAGATATCTACAAGGCATCACTGGGGCTGATGCCCTTGCTGAAACTCACTGGAGGAATTGCAGTGGCCCCCTGATGAGATGAAGTGAGACTCAGTTTCCTTGGGGGGCAGTAAATTCTAAATGTTGTCCACTCTTCTTCAGTGCCATTGTCATTTATTTCATTTTGCCTGGACAAGTGAGAGGTTATAAGAACTCTTTATGGTTCTTGGGACTAGAACACCTCTTCTTTCCACTCTCCTGTATCTTTTTTACTGGGTGGAGGGAAAATACGGGAAATATTCAAGTTTATTTGGTTTTGGGAGTCTGTGTTCTTTTGTAGTTTTTTTTTTTTTTTTTTTTTTTTTTTTTAGAGAGAGATGGGGTTTTACCATGTTGACCAGGCTGGTCTTAAACTCTTGACCTCAAGTGATCCACGTGCCTTTACCTCCCAAAGTGCTGGGGTTATAGGCATGAGCTGCTGTGCCTGGCCAGTCTTTTTATTTTTATTTTTTTAAAGAGACAGGGTCTCACTCTGTTGCCCAGGATGGAGTGCAGTGATGTGATTGTAGCTCACTGCAGCCTCAAACTCCTGGGCTCAAGTGAACCTCCCACCTCAGCGTCCCAACTTGCTGGGATATAGGCACAAAGCACTATGCCTGTCCCATCCGTTTTTTAAATTAAATGTTTAAGTTTTGAAATAACTATAGATTCACACACAGTTGTAAGAAATAATACAAGATGCTATGTCCCCTTTACCCTACTTTCCCAGTGGCGAAACTATAGAACAGTATCACAACTAGGATATTGATGTTGATACAGTCAAGATACAGAATATTATTATCACCACAAGGATGTCTCATGCTGCCCTTATATGGCCGTGTTTACTTCCCTCTCACTTCCACTCCCTCCTTAACTCCTGGAAGCCACTAATATGTTCTCTAATAATATAATTTTGTCATTTCAAGGATGTTTTATATGTGAATAATCATACAGTGTGTAACCTTTTGGGCTGGCATTTTTTCTCTCTGGTGATTCATCTGGGAGATTCAACAGAGTAGATTAATAGTTCATTTATGGCCAGGTGGGGTGGCTCACGCCTGTAATGCCAGCACTTTGGGATGCTGAGGTGGGCTGATCACCTGAGCTCAGGAGTTCGAGACCAGCCTGGCCAACATGGTAAAACCCCACCTCTACTAAAAATACAAAAATTAGCCGGGTGTGGTGGTGTGTGCCTGTAATCCCAGCTACTTGGGAGGCCGAGGCAAGAGAATTGCTCGAACCTGGGAGGCGAAGGTTGCAGTGAGTGGAGATTGTGTCATGGCACTCCAGCCTGGGTGACACAGCAAGACTGTCTCGATAATAATAATAAAAGTTCATTTATTTATTTTTGTTAGGTAGCTTTGCAAGTTATGGATGTAGCAGAGTTTGTTTCACCATCATCAGCTGAGGGACATCTGGGTTATTTCCAGTTTTGGGTTGTTACAAATAAAGCTGTTACAAACATTCACGTACAGGTTTTTTTTTGTGTGAACATATGCCTTCATTTCTCTGAGGTGAATGCCTGCAGAAGTTTCAGGTCATCTGGTGGCCACATGTTTACTTTTGTAAGACCATGTCAGACTGTTTTCCACAGTGGTTTTACCATCTTACAGTCCTACCAACTATGTGTTGGACAACATTTTGTGTTGTCATCATTTTTTCCCAGTCATTCATGTAGGTGTGTAGTAATATCTCATTGTGGGTTTAATTTTCATTTCCCTAATAGTTGATTATGTTGACCTCCTTTTCAGGTGCTTGTTGCCATTTCCATGTCGTCTTTGGTGAAATGTTTTATGTCTTTTGCCCATATTGTAATTGGATTGCATACTTTTTTTTACTCTTGAACGGTGAGAGGTCTTTATACATTCTAGATGCTGGTTCTTTGTCAGATATGTAGTTTGCAACTATTTTCTTCCAGTCTGTAGCTTGTGATTTAATCCTCTTAAGAGGACCTTTTGCAGAGCAGAAGTTTTTTTTTTTTTTTAATTTTTATTTATTTATTTATTTATTTTTTGAGACGGAGTTTCGCTCTTGTTACCCAGGCTGGAGTGCAATGGCGCGATCTCGGCTCACCGCAACCTCCGCCTCCTGGGTTCAGGCAATTCTCCTGCCTCAGCCTCCTGAGTAGCTGGGATTACAGGCACGCGCTACCATACCCAGCTAATTTTTTGTATTTTTAGTAGAGACGGGGTTTCACCATGTTGACCGGGATGGTCTCGATCTCTCGACCTCGTGATCCACCCGCCTCGGCCTCCCAAAGTGCTGGGATTACAGGCTTGAGCCACCGCGTCCGGCCTATTTTTTTTTATTTTAGAGGGAGGATTTATTTATTTATTTATTTTGCTTTTGTTGTTGTTGTTTTCTTTCTTTTATTTTTATTATTATTTTTTTTTTTTAGAGGGAGGATTTAATTTAAAAATTAGCCAGGCCACAATGGCTCAGGACTGTAATCTCAACACTTCAGGGGGTCAAGTTGGATGAACTGATCACCTGAGGTGAGGAGTTCGAGACCAGCCTGGACAACATGGTGAAATCCATCTCTACTAAAAATACAAAGAAAAATTATCCAGCACCTATAATCCCAGCTGCTAGGGAAGTCGAGGCAAGAGAATTGCTTGAGCCCGGGAGGTGGAGGTTGCAGTGAGCTGAGATCTCGCCACTGCACTCCAGCCTGGACAACAGAGCGAGATCTCCACTCACTGCAACCTCTGCCTTCGGGGTTCAAGCGATTCTTCTGTTTCAGCCTCCTGACTAGGTGGGACTACAGGCAAGGGCCACCACACCCTGCTGATTTATGTACTTTTAGTAGAGACAGGATTTCATCATATTGGCCAGGTTGGTCTCGAACTCGTGACCTTGTGATTCTCCTGCCTCAACCTCCCAAAGTGCTAGCTAGACATTACTTTTCTTTTTCTTTATTTCTTCCTTTCTTTTTTTTTAAGACAGGGTCTTGCTCTGTCACTCAGGCTGGAGTGCAATGGTGTGGTCTCGGCTCACTGCAACCTCCGCCTCCCTGGTTCAAGCAATCCTCCTGCCTCAGCCTCCCAAGTAGCTGGGATTACAGGTACCTGCCACCATACCTAGCTAATTCTTTTTTTTTTTTTTTTTATTGCATTTTAGGTTTTGGGGTACATGTGAAGAACATGCAGGATTGTTGCATAGATGCCAGGTGTGGTGGCTCAAGCCTGTAATCCCAGCACTTTGGGAGTCCGAGGCGGGTGGATCATGAGGTCAAGAGATCGAGATCATCCTGGTCAACATGGTGAAACCCCATCTCTACTAAAAATACAAAAAAATTAGCTGGGAATGGTGGTGTGTGCCTGTGATCCCAGCTACTCAGGAGGCTGAGGCAGGAGAATTGCCTGAACCCAGGAGGTGGAGGTTGCGGTGAGCCGAGATCGCGCCATTGCACTCCAGCCTGGGCAACAAGAGCGAAACATGGTCTCAAAAAAAAAAAAAAAAAAAAAAAAAAAAAAAGAAAAGAAAGAAAAGATTGCTGCATAGGTACACACATGGCAGTGTGATTTGCTGCCTTCCTCCCCTTCACCTGTAT